AGGGACGCGATTCAGGCCGCGGGGTCGAAAGTTTTACTCTAATGTGAGTTTTTCTGTCCTGGAGAAGACGCAGCTGTCCCAGCCGCCACCAACTCCACAGGAGTGTCATCAGGTCCCGCTTTGAACTCTCTGTAAGGTGACCGTCCAAAGTTACCCCAGCGGATGACCCCTCTCTTGCTCTCACGATGTACAATCAAGGATCTGTCAATTAGGTCTGGAATGCAATGATTAAATCATCTTGCATCCCGTTCCTCGGCTATACCGGTCCTGTTTACAAAATATGTCACTAATTTATTGGCTTTAACCTGACAGCCAGTTTCCCATCGGAGGGAGGTTGATGTACCGGCCTCACACCTATTATCTTCCTTCTTTCCTAGTTTTAAGATAGTATATAAGCCTTAGTTTTAGTTGTTTTTTAATATTATCAGTACACATATGTTGCAAACCACATACCAATTGTCATTTCTCGTTTTTTATTGTTAACATAAGCTGTATTATATTTTTTGTGACCAAGGAGTTGGAATCTGAAAGAACCTTGTTTATCATATGTGAAAAAATATTGTTGTTACATAATTTTGTGTGTTTCCTTTTGTCAGTATACATACTTTCATGTGAACACTTCTGATGTCATAGACCAACAAAATAAAATAAAAAGTGTTATTTTGGAGAAATCCACATATTATAAAAAATAATATCCAATTAATATATGATATTAAAATTAATTAGAAATAAAATAATAATTATCATATTGAATTTATAACATTTAATTAATTAATTTCAGATACGTCCAAGAGCTATTCCTAAAGGATTAATAAACACCATTGGAGAACCAAGTAGATCTTGGAAAACTTCAGAATCTTTCCCACTTATCAAACTCCAGGTCCAAGAGCTAAGAATTTTTCTACAGGAGGTGATCCAGGTAAATTAATTTTGCATACCAGTATATTTTAAAAATGTATAAGCACATACAGTAAATATTCATTTAAATTAAATTTTGAAATGTTCTAAAATAATTCTATTTTGTAATAAATATCAGATTAATTTTACATTGTAATCCAATATACAAAGTGATCTGTTTGGGTGATGATAATTTGAAAGTTGTGTTATAATAAACACATTAATTGCGTGAAGCTCAAATTCTACCACAATGCAATGCAATGCAATTGGGAATTTCATTGGGTAGTTTTGTCATACAGCAAAAGTTAAAATAGCATTGATCATGGAATATAATTCTAAGTTTGTTCTTTGGCATGAAAAGTTTGAGAATGTGATAGCTGTTAAATTGTGGTGATGCAGGTTATTGGACATCATGTGTAAGAAACAATATACATTAAACTACCTTTTTTCAGAAATACGATAACAATATCAATTTTCCTTTAACTTTAACTTACAATACCCTATCATTCCTTTGTCCTTTACTTTACACTGCTTGTTTTGAAATCCCGACAAAAATGACTCGTGAGGCCAGTTCGTGGACAATCCATTTCAATCATTTTATATTACTGATTGAAAGTAACTTATTTTAAATTAACACTAATATTACTTAAAATAAAGAAGGAAGAGAAGAAAATTGTGTTAGTATGGGATCCCCTTTCTCTTGTCCTGCAAGTTGGGCACTTAAGGTGTTGACCACAGTTAACAAAGAAAACTTAACCTCACCATGTGGTTCTCCTTAGTCGAGATAAGCAGTTTACTCATAACTTCCTTTTTTATGTCTTCAATCACAAATTTCGAGCATTAATCTTCTACATCCTCACCATGTAGACTTCTTTCTCATGCTCCTTCTCCTGTGTTGCCATGTGCTCCTCTGTTTGTTCTTCCTGATCAAGAATGCCAAAAAATTGGTGGCATATGTTGATTCTCCTTTTAGCCCAAAACTCGCCAAAAGAACAACAATAGGAAGGGATAGAGTTAATTGAACAGAGAAACAGAATACGTACAAATGATAAATTTGCTAATTATAACAATAAAACAAATATAGATACATTGTGGAACTCGCCATAAAACACAACTTTTGTTGTGTTTTTGGTTTCAGGAAGATGTCTATGTACAATTGCATAATGTGTTAGTGTTACTCATCTGAAGAAGTGGAATCAGTCATGAAGCCATACTATGTGATTATAAGTTTGATCCTGAGAGAGAAACCCACATCTTCATTGCTTTAGTGCATAGCAGTTAACTATTTTGATTGTTTTTGCGGTTAATTCTGTTGAACACACATCAATGCTATTTGTTGACATTACCTGTAAATGTACCCATAGTACTGTACATATACATGCTGTAAGCAATAGAACTACATTTTCAGGAAGCGGTGGAACAACTTCTGACTTTGGTTCAAAATTCTAATGCAGATCCCACTTCCCTACACCACTCCTCAGAAAAGGAGGAATCATTTTGATCATGAATCATAGCTTGTTGCTTGACACATTTGGGCCCTGTTGACTCTGGACCCTGAGTTGGACAAACTGCTTTGCTCCATTGTAGTTCCACTGCTGTTTTCAAGTAACATTGAACAATATATTGACATATTTTCATCTCCAAAGATAGTGGCCATTTTTACTTTTGTCACATGACAAAACTATCCACTGAAACTCCTGTCTTACTTTGTTGTTGTGGCAGAAATTGAACTTCATACAACTGATGTGTTTGTTAGGTATGTTTGTCAGGCACTATAGTGTGTGTCAGGTCAAAGCTGTTGGATCTCATAGGTCCAGAGAGAAAAGAAGAATGAGACTTTCTCGATGTAGCTGATGTCACCACTCACAAGACCCTCTGGTGGTGCTTATAGATATTTGCGCTCTCATGTTTCTCAACATAAAGTTGAGTTAACATCAAATCCAATATACATGATATTCAGATGGTATTCAAATATTACAACACTTTATGTTCTTGTTATGCTCTGACATTTTGTCTTTTTGAGACAATTATATATTTTTCTAATCCATGAATTTTCTTACATGACAATCCTACCATCTGTAGACAATCAAAAAAATGGGAGTGGAGGCATTAGTATGTGAAGTTCCTAAAATTTTCGTGTCACATAATCAATGTCTTCTCCTGGTCATCTCGTCGATTGGAGCAGAGTTTGTTGACTTCCGTAACTCTTCCTTTGCACAGTCCCGTGTCACTGGTCATTTTCATATTCTTCCCAAAACTAAAAAAGCTTCACACTCTCAACCACAAATCAATATATACCTCTTTCTCCTCTCCCGCTAGGTTTATTGCTCCTCCAGTCAATAATGGGTAATGGAACATTCTAGAAGTTTATAAACAAAGGCCTTGTAACCAACAATTTAATTTGATATACAAAAATGATGATAAATTAATAATGTGTTAAATTGTGACAAAGTGAGATTGTGATTTTTGTTTAGAAGCTTATTTTAATCTTTTTATTTTACATTTTGTTTGAATAAAATCAAGTTGAAATGTCTTCTTATAAAAAGCATATCAGCCTTATGCGTTTTGGAAAGGCTATGACACCATACAAACAGTAAAACAAAATTTGTAATATGCATGGGGAAGATGTTCGTAAATTTTGAATTTGTCAAATATGCTTTAAAAAGTTCCATTCAGGAAATTTTGAAATAAAGGGTACAAAACATATGGAGTGCCCAAAAGCTGTTCATGAAAAAAATTGCAGGAAGAAATTGTTAAAATTGACAAATAACACACAATATATCTAACCAAAAACCCCAAAAGTAAGCATAAACAGCACTGAAACATATAAGTGTAATGCAAGAAAGAGAAATGACTTGGTTGCATAAGAGATTGCATTTATACTTTGAATACATTTTTTCATTGCATGCACAGTTTGAACTTTGAAGTGTTGTTTTAACTCCAAAGCAAATCTTTGTCAAATATAGCATTCAAACTCTGAAGTGTTTGAAGTTAGAGTCATTGAAAGTGCAAGCTATCACTGCAATATTTAATATAAAAAATTCTTGTAGACTTTAAATAAAAGAGATATTTTTTAATATTAATTTTAATTTGCATACTATTTTAAAGTTTTAATTATGAAATTTTGAGATATTTTCATGTATAGTTAATTGATTTCAATAATTTTATCATCAATTGTCATACAAGTGCAAATAAATTTGTATTTTTAAATTATAATTTTTGATGAAATACTATTGAAAATTAGAAAATAAAGATTTCCTTTTTGTAGTTATTCAGTAATCAAATTTTCATGTATTTTTTAAATTTCACTTTTAAAAATAATAATCACTGCTCATGTATTATATTTAGGTTTAAAATTTTACAAACTTATTTAAATAATTTACTTATTTCAGGATATGCATCTCAAGGATTTTTAGCATTACAGAATGTATTAGCTAATTCTATTATAGAAAGTTACAGTGATGTTTTTAAACATATTAATTTGAATACAACTGGAATTATCAATATTAAATTACAACAGTACCCTTTTCCTCCTTATAATGATGATAATTTTTTATTGGCTTTAAGATTTTTTCTTCCAATTGTTCTTATGTTTAGTTATATTTATCCGATTATGAATGTTGTGGAAAATATAGTACATGAAAAAGAATTAAGAATTAAGGTGAGAAAGCTTTTTAGAATGGTAGCTGTATTTTTTTAAAACTAACAAAATTATGATTTTAAGTAGAGTTAAATTAAATAATAATAAATATTTATAATTTAAATTTTGTGATATTTATTTCCTTTCTAGGAATCATTAAAAATGATGGGGTTATCTGCTTGGTTACATTGGACTGCCTTTTTCATAAAATATACTATTATTTTAGCATTAAATTCAGCATTAATAACAGTTTTACTTTGTTCACGATTACCTGCAAGTATTGCTGTATTGGATAATTCTGATGTAATGTTAATTTATTCATTTTTAATATGCTACAGTTTTTCATCAATTAGTTTGGCATTCTTGCTTAGCACACTGTTTTATAAAGGTTGGTTTAATAATTAAATTACTATATTAATTTTTAAACATTTCTGATGGTTTTTAAAAACATTCAAATTATTCTAGTAATTTTTCTGGTATAACTATACTCCGTTTATTAGTTAAAAATAAAATTTAAAGGTAAACCCTGAGCAAGAACTTTATTAATACTGATTTTAATGGGAAAGACATAACTCAGAAGACAAAAAAGATTCTTTAAAATGGTCTGAAGGGGGCTGGCTAGGTTTACTGACCTGAAATATATTTTTGTAGCCAAAATGTACCAAAATGAATAAAAGAATCTTTTTTTGATATTATGTGATTATTTGATATTTTGATATGAATATTATGTGGTAATATTGATATTGATGAGGTTCCTGCTCAGAGTTTACCTTTAATTTTTATTTTTAATTAAAAATTACCAATTCAGCAACTTAAAACTTCTTTTTTTAAAGTTTTAAGAATATAATATCAATTAAATACAGAAACTATTCCACTTTCAGCACCAGGGTGAAACGTACACTACACTATCCGGAACCTGTAATCGGTGCGTAACGCGTATATACTATATATTGCTGTTGACAAACGTTTTCGAGCGATCTCTTTGCTCTTCTTCAGGTCAATTGGAATTCCCTGGACAGAGTGTATACTATTTGTTGGGATCGGGTGTCAATTCCGACAGGGTAGGTCTTTTCTGACATGTGCGGTCGCACGGTGGGGGAGGAAGTGGTGGGTTGGCATCCAACAGTGATTGCCAGAGACAGAGTCAGATCTTCCTTCCGGTTAACGCACATGGTTAGCCGACCAGCGTTGTAGATAGCCGCAGCCTCTAGCCACCTTAGATGCTCTTGGTGGGGTGTGTTGATGATAACAGTAGCTTTTTCAAATCGCGCTTCGATTTCGGGATCCGACGCATAGGTGGCCAATGCTGTGGTTAGTCTCCCGTGTCAGATATCTGCCTGGTGTTCACGTAGGCGGGTGTTCAAGGAACGTTTGGTCAAGCCGATTTATAACAAGTCTTCGTTCTTCCTGTTGTCCCTGATTGGGATAGAATAGACTCCGGGAAGTCTGGTGCGATTGGGAGGGTCTTTATCATTCCACGGAATACGGAAAATTGTGGGACATCTGTATGCCAACCGTATCCCGTGTTCTCTGGCTATCCTCCTATGTACTGTCTTAAGGTATGGGTTAAATGTGATGGGGACTCGTGCCAAACCGTCTTGCTGTGGGTCGGCAATGTTACCTGCAGTCAGGGCGTGTTTCCAGCATTGGTATCATTCTATTAAGCAGCATGTCATGTTCGGAAACCCGTGCTCAGTTGCTGTCTTCCTGATGCGGGCTAATTCGGTTGTCAGGGCTTGCTTGGTGGATGAGTGTGAGAATGCCCTTTCTACCAGAGCTCTAAAGGTGGCTGCCTTGTATGGGAAAGGGTCACAAGAATCGGCTGGTATGTACGTGGGGGTGGCTGTGGGTTTGTGGTATACGGCCACGTGGATGTTGGGTCCTACTATTTTTATTCCAATGTCTAGAAAATCGACCTCCTCTGTACTAGTCTGCTCTAGTTCAACCATCAGACCGAAAGGGTTGTTGTTGATGGTTCTGATGAAGGATGTCATGTCAGGGATCTCTCTTCATATGATAAGAATGTTGTCTACGTATCTTTTACATATTAGGAGGTTAGAAAGGAAAGGCGGGAGAGCCTTACTCTCGAGGCGTCTGACGACCATTTCACAGAGGTCGCCTGACAGTAGTACCCATTGGTACACCACTCTTCTGCTGGTAAATGGTGCCATCAAACTTAAAAACAGAATCGTAACACATGAGGGCTACTGTTATTTACCTTTTAGCTAAGAGACCTAGTGCTGGCTGAAAAAAAATAAAAATACCAGTCATAATTTTTTCAATTTGCCCCTCTAGCTCCCAATGATTTATTCCTGGTATGGGACTGATGCCCTTGTATATTCTGGATGATTTATTGCAGTTTCTGGAGAAGGACTATGGAAATTCATCTTTCTGCTCATTGCTTGGGCACACAGAGCTTCTAAATGACTTGCTGCAAAGCAAATACTAAACATTATTTTTATTTTTTTTCCTAGGTTTTCTTTTAAGTTAGTGAAAACAAGTACTAATGTAAGTCTTTTGTAAAAGTAAAGTGGCATAAAGTGAACTTTCATAAAGCTGATGATATCTGTAATTGATAAAATTTTCATTTATTTAATTAGTTATTGCATTGATTAACATATTAGCCTAAATATAAGTCAATCCCAAATATAAGTTTACTCCCAATTTTGGCATCTTTACTTTTTGAAAAAAAAAAAGATGTGACTATAAGTCAAACTTTTATTATTAATTTTATTTGCATGCAAAAAAGTTAGTGGTTTGCATTAAAAAGTTTAGAAAGTCATTGAAACAATACTTCATTACTCTTATCTTCATCAGAAGTTTTATTGTCATTAGTTTTTTTAACTGTCTAAAATATATTTTATAAAGTCTAAAACATTCAGTCAAACCTCAGGTTTTGAACACTGCTTTTCAAACAATTTGGTTTACGAACAAAATTTTGAACTCTTTTTTGCCCGGTTGCTGTACAGTAACTGAATTGCCAAACTAGCTACTTGGCAGAGCTGGCCACCAATGGTCAACTCCCTATACTTCCTATGTTAAAGAAAGTTGATGGCTCAACCAATCAATAACAGGACAATTCGGAAGTTAGTAGTGCTGAGATTGTCTTGTGTCACAATATGAATCATTGATGATGTGCTATTTAAATTATGAATTAAGTTTGAAACCCAAGGTTTGACTATAATCATATTGAGATACATTATAATTACATTAGAAATTTACACTTTACACGGAATAAGTTTTGCAGTAAATTTTCATCAACCTTCCTTCAATTTTTGACACTTAATAGCAGAGACACTAGGAGTAAAATAAAAATGTTACCAAAATAAAATTTTTGTACAATTTATCAAAATTGGCTGATTCTGTTGAATACAATAAAAGCAATCAGCTTAGTTTAGTTTATTGTTTCTTAACAATCAAATATTTATAATTGTACCAAACACTTAATTCCTATCTATAATTTGTGGGCTGCAACATGATAGGTCACAATTTGTCTGCATTTAGCATTAATAAACAGTTGATACACTGATTTTACCATCATGTTAACTCTATACAATGCATACCACAGATAGTTAATGAAATTGAAGAAAATTTTAATCAGACTCCAATATAAGTTGAGGCTTGTATATAGGTTGAGAGCAAGTTTATGCCCTTTTAAAACTGGATTAAAACATCAACTAATATTCAAGCCAATATGGTATATTTTAAGCTTAAAGAAAATATTAGTACACAAGAAATATTAAATTTTTTAAAGCAGAAAATCAATTTAATATTTAATAATCCTAATTTGATTTTTTTTTTCCAGCAAGTATTTCTTCGGCTGTAACAGGAATAATATTTTTTTTTACATTTATGCCATATTTTGGTATATATTTCCATTATAATACACTTGCTTATTCTGTGAAAATATCATTATGTTTAATTTCAAATACAGCAATGTCTTTTGGATGCATGATATTAGCTATGTGGGAAGGAACAGGTAAACAAAAACATAAATTAATATAATTTTTATATTTTACTGATTACTTTNAATTTTGATATTTTAAGCTATTAATGTTAGAAATTTCAGTATTAGTGTTTCTTGTTACAATTTTTTTACTCTTTCTACTCTGTGGACACTAAGAAGGCTTTTTTTAGCAGGCTTGTCATATGTTCAGCCATACCACAGAGGTGATTGGGTGGTGAGGGTTGAGCTACCAACATATCTGGGATGGATTACTCCATGAAAAATTCCTGGAGGTTTTTAACTCATTCATTAGTTTCTAGGTCTCCAGCTTAACTGCTCAGTCATCTAGCTGTCAACTCCTCTTATTAGAACACACCTTATAACAAATTTTATTTTTCTGTTAAATATATTTTATGTTCTATAACAGTGATGATCAACTAATAGGCAGATCTGCCCCACCTTACATTTTTTAATTTTAATATCAGTTTAATGTATCTCCAGTAAATCAAATAGTTTCACATTACAAAAGCTGGTGCAATAGCCTATAATTACAATCAATTGATAACTAGGAAGGAAAATCTAGGCATATATTGCATAGAGATCCATGAATTTGTGAGTTATTTAAAATGATTTAATTTATTCTTATGCTAAAAAGATTTCAGTTGTGTAACACTTGATAGTCATAGTTTATCAATTTTATTGTTGAAAAGTTTAAATATGAGTCTTATATACTACATTCATTTCATGCTTTGTATTATAGATTTTCACCAAACCATGCTAAAAAATCAAAATTTCCTTCTGGAAACTAATAGTTCTGATTTGATATAATATTTTTGCTATAAAATAAAACTAGTATCAAATTAATTTACCCATCAATCACAAGTAGGATGGGACTGTGTGAGTTTATGTTTGACATAGTTGCTCTTTGGATAACTTTCTGAATTTTAAGAGTTCTCACAACATTGTTATTAAAAATAACATAAATTGATAATATTTAAAAATTATTTTGTTTTATGGTTATTCTAAAATAAACGTTAAATTTTGAATATAACAGTTTCAGCAACATCTTATCTAATTCCAGTTCTTAAGATATAGAGCTTACGAAATTTGAAGGTTTTACCCTTCAATAATGCACTTATTAATTTCTGGCCCACAGTTATTCTGAAGTTGGCCATTTCTGTTCTGAACATAGACAGCTAAGCTGATAAACAAATTCTAATGCTAATAATTAGTAGAATCAGATTATACTAATTTTTATAATATTAAATAGCAGCTTACTAATTTATTTTTCTGACAATATCATATTATTGTTATTTCTTAAAATTTCAATATAATTATGAGTTGAATAGAAAATATAATTACGAACTGAAAAAGAAATTACTATATTTTCTTGTGTATAATTAGTAATGGTGAATATCCTGCAAAAAATTGCTAGAATGAAGATAAAGCCTTTGCATTATCACAAGTTATAGACACTAATGGCGGTGTGTATGTCCATTAGTGTCTATGAAATAGACTTAAAGCAGTCATTGCTTTGTAGGCATGAATTTATAATTACAATTTAAAATTGATATATAACCTGTCCCATTGCATAATCTGCATCCACTTTTCAAAATATTTCAGACACAGATAACTACATGTGGGTTAAACACATGAATATATGAGACTTTTTTAATGTAGTATGCTATAAATTTTTATTTGAAAAATATTCTTTCCTCTGAATATTACAAAAGAATTTATATGTTTAATTTTTAGCATAAATAGTTGTTTGATATATTTTCCATTATTATATAATTAAGAGTATATCATTATTACAAATATTATAAATTTGCTTAATTAAAAAAAATTAATTTATTTGATTATAATATTTAGGTGCTGGAGCTCAGTGGAAATATCTTAGTTCTACAGCTTCACCAGATGATACAATAACACTAATTGAAGTAATGGGAATGATGCTTTTTGATACTGTTTGTCATCTTATAATTACTTGGTATATTGATGCAGTTTGTCCTGGAGAATATGGGATTCCTCAATCTTATTACTTTTTTTTTACAGTTAAGTAATCAACTGCTACTTCTTTTAATGTAATCTTTTAAAAGCAATTGATGAACAATGGATTTTTAATAATACTATGACTTCCAAAAAGAATGTTTAAATGCAAGAAGAATAATAGAATAATAAATTTTTAAAATAACTATTGTATTATATTTTTAAACTTTTAGAAAGTTAATAATTAGAAATTCATTTGAAATTTATGGTTTCTAATGATATGGATATATAAATTAGAAATATCTTGATAACTTTTGTTAGACTTTAGTTTAGAATTTTCAAATTCAAAACTCTGACATTGTGAAATTTTAATACATGATAATATTTTGATAAGATGAGATAACTAATACAAGAAAATATGAATATGTAAATCTCTTGGCATGATTAAAACCTTAATGATGCAAATTCATGACAAGTTCAGAAACATTTAGAAAATTAAAATCTAAATAATTTATTATTATACTTGGTATAAATAATAAACCTCATAAAGAACTTTCATTTTACTCTTATCAATAATTAATTTATTTCCGTAATCTAGCATTTTTTATTAATATAAAATTAAACTTAGATTGTAATTTTTTTCTAGAATATAAGGTATTTTCTGGAATGTTAATCTGTATATATTATTCTAAATGATTTTCTACATAATATTTAAACATCAAATTGATTAAAGGAAACAATCAGAAATTTTATTCAATCTTAATTTGAGTGAAAATTATAATACTCTATATATACATTTGAAAATTTGTTACATATTTTTAGGATTTAGGCTAGATTTTTTTTGTAAAGAACGTGATATTTTTAACATAAAATCTCAATAATTACTAATGTAAAAGTTTTGATGAGAAACAAATATAATTTGAAAATATAAAGTTAAATTTACAATTGAATTGAATTCAAACTGCTTGGACTATGTGTGATATGATGAAGATAATAAATAAATTAAATTAATATAATTACAGTATAAAACTTCATTTAAATATATAAAATTTATTTATCATGGAATATTTTTAAGATTTTTAAGTAAATAAAATTATGTAATTTAAAAATTTTTAAAAATAAATTAAAAAATGCAAAAGATAAGTAGTATATTATTAGTCCTAACAAAAATAAAGATGAACTTTTATTTTCAGGAAGATTAATCAAATCAGCTTGTCAGGACTTTCTTTTGTTGGAAAATTTCCTGTCAGATTATAAATTATGCTATAATTTCAGAATTTTGATATTTTAAGCTATTAATGTTAGAAATTTCAGTATTAGTGTTTCTTGTTACAATTTTTTTACTCTTTCTACTCTGTGGACACTAAGAAGGCTTTTTTTAGCAGGCTTGTCATATGTTCAGCCAGACCACAGAGGTGATTGGGTGGTGAGGGTTGAGCTACCAACATATCTGGGATGGATTACTCCATGAAAAATTCCTGGAGGTTTTTAACTCATTCATTAGTTTCTAGGTCTCCAGCTTAACTGCTCAGTCATCTAGCTGTCAACTCCTCTTATTAGAACACACCTTATAACAAATTTTATTTTTCTGTTAAATATATTTTATGTTCTATAACAGTGATGATCAACTAATAGGCAGATCTGCCCCACCTTACATTTTTTAATTTTAATATCAGTTTAATGTATCTCCAGTAAATCAAATAGTTTCACATTACAAAAGCTGGTGCAATAGCCTATAATTACAATCAATTGATAACTAGGAAGGAAAATCTAGGCATATATTGCATAGAGATCCATGAATTTGTGAGTTATTTAAAATGATTTAATTTATTCTTATGCTAAAAAGATTTCAGTTGTGTAACACTTGATAGTCATAGTTTATCAATTTTATTGTTGAAAAGTTTAAATATGAGTCTTATATACTACATTCATTTCATGCTTTGTATTATAGATTTTCACCAAACCATGCTAAAAAATCAAAATTTCCTTCTGGAAACTAATAGTTCTGATTTGATATAATATTTTTGCTATAAAATAAAACTAGTATCAAATTAATTTACCCATCAATCACAAGTAGGATGGGACTGTGTGAGTTTATGTTTGACATAGTTGCTCTTTGGATAACTTTCTGAATTTTAAGAGTTCTCACAACATTGTTATTAAAAATAACATAAATTGATAATATTTAAAAATTATTTTGTTTTATGGTTATTCTAAAATAAACGTTAAATTTTGAATATAACAGTTTCAGCAACATCTTATCTAATTCCAGTTCTTAAGATATAGAGCTTACGAAATTTGAAGGTTTTACCCTTCAATAATGCACTTATTAATTTCTGGCCCACAGTTATTCTGAAGTTGGCCATTTCTGTTCTGAACATAGACAGCTAAGCTGATAAACAAATTCTAATGCTAATAATTAGTAGAATCAGATTAGTAGAATTTAATAATCAGATTAGTAGAATTTAAAACTATTTCTTTTTTGATTTTTAACATTTAATATTGGAATTATCAAATATAGCAAACATATGTATAAAATGTGTTTCAGATGTTTCTGAATTGATTTTTTTAATATGGACAGTAGGTAATGTTTCTGACATTACTTACATTATACTATCTCATATTATGTTTCTTTTTCTAGTATAGTGATGCTATTTCCTAAAATTTTTTATTGTATTATTATGTATTACTGTTTAGTTTGTTTTTGTTTTATAGAAAATGACGCAAAAGAGTTACTTTTAATTATAAGCATTACTGGATTAACCATTAGGCAAAATAAGCAATTGCTTAGGGCCTCTAAAAGTCTTAATCTAATCCTGATTATAAGATATAAGATACTATATGAAATAATTTTTTTACATAATCATCTTTTAGCATAATTTTGTCAAATATTAAAACATTTTTGCTTATAAATTAAAGAAATTTTTAACTATGTTATATATTTATATTGACAAATGAAAAAATGACTATATTAAAATAATTTTGATAATTGTCCCCTTTTATTATCTGATATTGTTTTAGAGTAATAACTATTTATAAGTTAATAATTGATTATATTAGAATTAAAAATAAGGGTTTTAGGGAAATAAATATGTTTTAGTTCATAATTATTTTAAGCTATTTCAATATATTATTCATATAAATAGCATTTTAATTGAAAGCTATTTTCATTAAATTGAGCATATCTTTAATATGTAAAAATTTATAAAACTAGATTTTACTTTTGTAAAAATTTAGTAATGCAATTGTTTAATTTTGATTACAGAAAAGTTATTGGACTGGTAAAGTTAAACCATCAGAGATAAAATTCATTCACAAAGATGCTGCTGCATCCAATACTTTTATAGAACCTGATCCTATAAATAAAAAAATGGGAATTCAAATTAAAGAACTTTCAAAGGTAAACATAAATAAAAACAAATTACTGCTTTTTTGTAATTTTACAAGATATTTACTTGAAAAGTTTTGTACAGGTTTTGTTAAAGGAAGCATAGCTTTTTTTCACTCGTTTGTCACTCAAACAATTTATTGACTATGCATTAACTCAACCACTGAGAGCAATTTGAAACAGTCTAGTGAACAATTCCACTGCTAAAGTTGAAAGTGATCTTGTATTTTTAATCATATACTTTTGAAATATCTATTGAAAATAAAGATTGAGCATACTAAATACTATATATGTTAATAAAAATATTAATTCTTTAGCATTGTTGTTCATAAAATTTCCTAATATGCTTATACAGGGGGTTTTCATTTAATATGCCTAACTAGGACCAAAAAGTTACCATTTTAAGTGAATCTATGTAAAGTGGGGATCATAAGTTCATAGAAAATCACATAAAAAAATGTTTAATTGGGACTTCAATAAACTTCTATGCATTTGGAGCTAGAACTATTTTAAGATGACTAAGACAAAACCTTTCTCACTTGTTTCTAGCCATTTATACATGAGTACGTACTTGTGTGTAAATGTCTAGAAACAAGTGAGAAAGGTTTTGTCTTGGTCGACTTCAATAAAGCAAAACCAAATGAAAAACGTGAAAATAAATCTTTATTATCCCTGTTTACACATATGTAAAATATTTATTATTAATTTAATTGAATATTAGAAATTATTTATAAATATTAATTATAACGGAATTTTAGAAGGGCCTGGTTATGTTTCATCATTTTCACTGACTGCTGAGTTTTGATATTTGAAAAACGAATCTAAAGCATGCTGTTTCCTGCAATTTATTTTTTCATTTAATATTATTTTATAACAAGACTAGCGGTTACCCGCGACTTCGCACGCATGGATTTTGCAAGCAAACTTCATTTATATTCATTATTTCAACAACCATAGTAATTGTCATATATAACACCTACCGCTGAGAATGATGAGAATTGCTGAGAATCAAATTAACTATTTTCAATTTAATCTATTTTCTGGAACGTTTACAATTGTTCTATAATTGAACCAATATTGCAATAACAAATTTGAATTTAAAATGGTTTGAACAATTGGTTAAAAAATCAAAGTATATAAAAATATTTATAACAATGTCTGAAATGTTATCAATTTAATACACGTAAGTACTCAATGAAGACTAAACATAGTTGAAAACAAAAAATTGCATGTAAAATAGTACAGTAGAAGCCATTCTTCAGGTTAAGCCTTAATCCTTTCCCTCTCCCCCGCAGGGTAATTTCAAAAAATCCCTTCTTAGTGTGCGTTTTCATGACATACCCTAACTGTATACAAAATTTCACCTCTTTAGGTTCAGCAGTTTTCTCTGGGTGATGATGAATCAATCAGTCAATCACTCAGTCAGTCAGTCAGGACAAGTTATTTTATATATTTAGATAATAAGTCTTTCATCCCACACACAAATTTTTCTTCCCACTTGTAAACTGGATCAATCATTTTTAGAAAATAATTCATGATTTCATCACACTTACAAATGTGTCATGTAAACCATCAATGGACAGCTTGTTTTCATTGGGAATTTTATCCAAGTTCTCATCACTGTCTTTGATTTTTTTGATTGTATGCTTATCTAACTCTGCTAACTCCTTATTTGTTAATGGCAAACCATAAATATTGAATAATTTTTTAACATCATTGAATCCTGCACCTCTAGCAAGATTAACAATTTCTGTATAAATCTGAAAAACATTAAATTTTTAAATGAATGAACTATTTCATGATATAAATTCTTCCAAAATGCATTCATTAAACAATGCGAAGTGTCCTTCTAAGCTTGATCAATAAGTTTAACACAGTGAAAAACATTAAAATCCTTCCAAAACTTTGCATGCTATTTTTATTGGGTACATCTGTTTCAGCAATTAATTTTTTAAAAACATAACATAAATAATATGTCTTGAAAACTGTGATTACATCTTTGCCCATGGATTGTACAGTACAATTGATGTAGTTCTCGGAGGGATATTACATTAGGACAAACAAATGAAGTCAATATAATGAGCAGAGTCATCGTGTAAAAGTAAAATCATTTTAAATTCAAGATTTTCCTCTTTACAGTATTTTCTTGATATAAACAAAATAATTTACAAACCAATCAAGAAATATTTCTCTAGTCATCTATGCTTTTCGATGCAACTTCCAATTACTGGAAGCAAAGATTTTGCCACATTTTTTAAAGCTTGAGGATTTTCACTTTGAAAAATTAGCAAGGGTTTAAACTTTTTGTCCCAATTTGCATTTCCACCAAGAAGCAGAGTGATTTGATGTTTTGATGCCTTGAAGCCTGGAACAGATTATTCTTTTATAGATATATTTGTTCAAGACGGCATATGTATTCAATATAATCTGGTTTCGTCAGCATTCAACATTTGTTTTGGACTGTATCCTCTCTCATCAACTATAGTCTTCAATTTAGCTGGAAAATCTCCAGTTGCTTCTATATCAGCAGTAGCAATTTATTTATGAATTTTAATGTTTTTAATCTATAATGTTTTTGAAAATGACAAAATTAACATTTTGATCCAGAAAAATTCTTAGCTTTCACTGCCTCTTTTTCTCCCATCTCATTTTGAATAACTTCGCATAAAGCTTTTCTTAGATTAGGGATGTTTATAGGCAGTAGCGTAGTGTAGTGGGGGCAGCAGGGGCGGCCCGCCCTGGGCAGCATTTTTTAGGGGGCGGAAAAATTATGTTTTCGGGGGAAGAAAAATTTCACAATAAATAATAATAATATCTTGTAAGAATTCGAACCATTTTATTTCATATTTTATCCACCTATGATTTGGACCGATTGAAATGAGCACGGAATAGTGTTACCATCCATCAGGATAGTCTGGGAATTGACTCTCCATCCGGGGATATTATGCGCAACCAGTTGACCGTTTTTTTTTCTTTTCTTGTACGATTTATTCGTATATATATACACCTCCAACATCCAATACAGCTAGGTCACTTGTGTTACTCCTATCCAAGTCTCCCTAGTCACTAACTGTAACTGATTTAAAACCAGCATACATTATTCTTCGCATTGCAAGATGACATATGCATACGTCAGGAACTTCTACTTGAACAAACATCACCTGCTGCCAGGGTTAGCGATTTTAATAAGGTAGCAACACTAGCATGGAATTTTTCATTACTTATTCTGTGATGAAACTGAATTTTAGTCTTTTAAATTGAGATACCTAAATAAGGGGGTCGAAATTTTCCTCCACCCCGGGCGGCTGACACCCACGCTACGCCACTGTTTATAGGTATATGTTGTTGATAGAGATCTTCAATCCTATGTTGCTAGATGCTTCTCCATTATCTCCATTACATCATTCCTCAGTTTGTCAATTTTACTTCAGAATGGCGTAGCCTTAACTTCCAAATCTGAGGCTTTCTTAATAATTGTATGAACTGTAATCTCAGGAATGTTAAGGGCGTGAGAAATATCAATTATACATTTTCCTTTCTTTTTTCAATTAATTAAATCTATTTTAACATCTAGACAGTATGAAGCATGTTTCCTTTTAGGAACTCCATCATCAGTTTTGCTATGCTTTATTGGCATAATTTCAATAAGAAAATCAGAAAATGAAACAGAAAACCAGCCAGAACTGAAATCGAAAGAACAAACACATGAACAATAATGCATTTTGTGTATGGTGATATGTATCAATGTGCACTTATATCACTTAGTGCAAAAGGAAGTTACCACCTGCCAAGAAAACCTTATAAGTGCAGGGAAATTTTAAGTGATGTTCCTCAATTTTTTGACCATTTCACTATGGAGACTCAGATAATGAATACTCATAAAATGAGGACTCCCCCTATATTTAAAAAGATATGCTACAGTTATGCAGTGCTACCAATGAGCTGCAGCTATTTAGCAACAATGTTACATTAATTAAATGATATCATTTTATATTATTACATACAATTGCAGATCTTAATCAAGATTTCTGATTTATTGCATGAATTTTACAACATGGTGCTCTTTATATGTTCAGCTTTAGGATGTTTTTCCCTAAAATATTACACTTAAAAAATGGATGTTTACTGAGATACTAATACAACTAAGATATTAAAATGTACAATTATTTATTATTTTGCTATAATCACAAGAAACTTAAGTGCTTATCTTAAGTTTAAACTTAATCTATATAAATCACAAATATTAAGTGAAAGCAAGATTGGTTTTTAAATAATTTGATCTACAGGAAAATTCTAATATTTCTAATGTAAGCATCTATAAACCTCCAATACATGCACATTATATATTATAAATATAAAATTTTATATTTTGTTTTGTTTTAATAAAGATTTATATAAAACTTGATGCATTTCATTATCCTAATAATTATTTCTTCTTTCAGTAGATATTGTTTCAATATTTGGAAAACATTTATAAATCTTTTTATATTTTTTAAGATGTATAATAAAGGGAAAACATATGCAGTGAAGAATATTTCATTAAATATGTATGAAGGAAATATTACTGCATTACTAGGCCATAATGGAGCTGGTAAAAGTACAACTATTTCAATCTTGACTGGTAAATATATTTAAATATGATTACTTATCTTAGAAAATAAGCTTAAGTTCTTTTGATAAAAATGAATAAGAGTAACAAAAATAATTTGAAATATTGAAAGGACAACTGAATGACTGAGATAGTTATAGCTTCATCCTACAGCTATGGAGGATCCATGATTGAATCCAAGTGATTGAGAAACTTCAGAAATTTTTTACAGATATTCTGTTCCAGTATGTCGAGCCGTCTCCCACCAACTGGTTGACCCCATTGGGGACCTGGCCAAACCCATGATGGGTATGGAAAAAAACCCTTGTATAATTTACAGAGTAGAAAGAGTTAAAAATAATTAAATAAAAAATAACAATAACCTGAAATATTGAAAGATATTATCATAAACTATAATTATAAAAAGTTTTGCATTGAAAGTTTTCAAAAGTTAAAAGATTAACTGAACACAGGTTGTTCTTTTTTCATTTACCTATTTATATTTACAATTTTTAAATCATTTTTTTTATATGATCTCTACATATAAACATTTTAATAGCATACAAATTTAGATAAGAGACTTCTTATCAGAAAAGTCATTTTTAGTTTTTTTAAATTCTTAAATTAATAAAAATTATGAATATTTCTTGCATAATTTTGGAATAAATAAATGATGGAGAATAGTAGTATCAATGAAAAATAAAATCATATTAATAAAATTATTTATTAAATTCATAAAATATATATTTTTAATTAATTCAGATTCGATAGTCTAAAAATTCATGTCAAATATGTTATATATTTCTAGGACTTTTTCCACCAACATCTGGAACAGCTGTAATTAATAATTATGATATTGTTACTGATTCAAACATGGTGCATACCAGTTTAGGTATTTGTCCACAGAACAATGTTTTGTTTGAAGAACTTACAGTGAAGGAACATTTACAATTCTTTTGTAAGGTAAATTTAAAATATATTATTATTACTAACAATATGTAATAAATATTTATAATATTTATTGAGTTTGAATATAAAAGCATTTTCATTGAGATAAAAAAATATAGAATTAAGTAATTCATTATTAAAAATATTATAAAAAATTGTTTTCTTTTTTTATGGTAGACATAGTCATATAAATAAAAGGGAAATTTTGTTTGTATCTCTGGTTTTTGTTTGTGGCAGCATTGTATTTTTCTTCTCCTTAAGCTTCAGTAATTTTTTTTTCCTAAAGATTACTTAAAATTTATAAACTTAAAAAAAATAGTAAGCAACAATATTGTAAGTACACCCAAAAAAAAACAAAAAAGAAAAATACTTATTTAGTTTTGTCAGTTTTTAAAGAAAAAACAAAAATACTTTAGAAAATTATTTTAAGTATTCATATCTATTTTTATAATAATCAAGTTAACTGCAATTGTTACCACTTTTAGAATTTTCAAATAATTATTTGGTTTGAAGTTATAGTTCCATTAACCATTGACTCTTTTGAGGATTTTATTTTATCTCTGTAAAGAGATTTTATTTTTATTTTATTATCATTTTATATCACATATTTTTATTTGACACATTTGATTCATTGTTTTCCTGATTTAAACCACAAAAAATTAATTTTATGTTGCTATTACAGAAGTACACATATTTGTTTCTTTGTTCTTTATGTAAAATTAAGATGAAATGTTCTTATTTTTTTCTTGTAGTAAATGGTATTTTTGCTACAAGTTTTTTCTTTAGAATAACTTATGAACAAACACTAAGTTAAGGTCCTGTTATTCAAAAATACAGTAATACCCTGAACTTACGCGATAGGTGGGATCGAGCGATAACCGCATAAGTCGAATTCGTGTAAGTATAATTTTGCATATAAATACATACAAATAATTTTTAATTGGGGCCGGAGACTAAAGAAAACAATAATTTAGAAAAAAAAAATGTTTAATAAAATCTTAGATAATACATATGTATAACAAATTATATTATTATACAATTATTTACTTGATTACCACACCATAATTTTAACATTGTTTCTATCTCAGNGGAGACTAAAGAAAACAATAATTTAGAAAAAAAAAATGTTTAATAAAATCTTAGATAATACATATGTATAACAAATTATATTATTATACAATTATTTACTTGATTACCACACCATAATTTTAACATTGTTTCTATCTCAGCAATACTACCGTGACATTTATGAATGATGTTTGAATTTAAAGATTGAACATTTTTCACAGCTTTGAGAATTTTTTCTTTACCTTTTATAATTGTTCTGACCATCGAATCCGGTAGATCAAACTTCTTTGCCAATTCACAAATTTTCATTTATGTATTAAAGTCTTTAATAATGTTAATTTTACATTCCAAAGATAAAGTTTTTCTTTTCTTGTTTGATGCAGAAGAATCAGTTCTACTTTGTTTGGATGACATAGTAGACTTTCTCAAGTCTCCATAGATATAACAAACAGAAATAAATAACACAAAATAAATTGTAGCTACAGTATATGTCGATTCCATTCGACACATCCGAACATGTAAGCTGAACAATAGTGTGGGGGGGAGTGAGTAATGGAAAGTTGTGTGGCGCTCAAACAAAAGACGAATCGACGAGATTTGAAAATCGCGTAACTCCGGGTTCGCATAAGTCGGGGTGGTGTAAGTTGAGGTATTACTGTAATTGTAAAAAGCAGAAAATAAAATTATACATTTTGATTGTAAAGCTTTATTTACTTTTTAAACTTGTTTAAATATTAAATGAAATATTGTAACTAAATTATACATTATAACTACTCAGATATTGAAGCTATCTAGTTATCTTTCATTCATATCCATGCTATATCATCAATATAAATTAATTTTAAAAAATATATTTTTAATATTTTATACTGTATTTGAATTTTAAAGTAAAATTTAAGTTTTTTTCTCAATAGGAGATAAATGTTTTTTAATTATTTTTAGTTAAAAAATTATCAAAAATGTGACATTAAGGATGAGATATGTAATGTGCTTCAAAAACTTGATTTGACAAGCAAACAGGATACAATGGCGAAACATCTTTCTGGTGGAATGAAAAGAAAATTATCAGTTGGAATTGCATTAATTGGTGGATCAAAGGTAAACTTTTATTTAATTATAAAGTCTCTAATACATTATTGGAAGTTCATTGTAAAAACATTTGTGCATGGCACTTAAAAGAACACATGCAACATTGAGAATATTGCATAGAAACTTGGATTATAAAAATTATATTAATAGATTTATATTAATACTTATTAGATGAAGCTTTATCACATGACATTAGTGACTCCATCATGAGATGGCCAACAATCTACCATTCAAGAACTGTTACAACAAAACAGACTTGTATATCAGTGCAAATTACTTCAAGGATATACAATGATGCAAATAGAGAAAAATAACAAATATAAGATACTATTTTAGTTAATAGAAGATATTCTATAATAAAAACTGTTGTATTTGGATTGCATAGTTTAAAGATTAGTAACCTTTGTTATTGAATAAATCAGCTTCAAAAATGCTAATAACAAGTCTTGTCTGACCTGACACAATCTCTGACTAATTCTGCCTAAAAATTTCACCTTACATACCCTCTCAAACTGAAAGAGATAGTCTTCTCACTCCTGTTTATCTTTTTCAAAAGTGACAAAATTAAAATGTTCCATATGTTCAATGTTAACTCAGAACATTCTTCAATATTTTAATTTTTGAAGTTAGACTATTTACAAAAATGTTCCATATGTCTTACCAGTTATTCTTCCTCTGTAAGCCTAACATTTCTTGTCATTTTTACAATTGAGCCAAAACACTGGTTCTTAGTCCAACCTTGATCCTTGTTGCCAAATATGTAACAAATGACAATTAAAAATAAGACAATAATCTTTATTACCAGTTTTATGTGAACAAGGTCACTGTTGGTCCCTGTTTTTTACACCACAACTCACACCATAGCACCTTCCTTCAGATCATTTTCTATAGAACTTTTATTATGCAGTCAAATCAATTTTAAGAACTCAACAGGGAGTACAGTTTCAAGGTTTTGGAATCAATTTGACTTCAACTGTAGAAACTTTAAACACGAAAGTTGACTCTATGAGAATCTGTTGTCTCTCTTAAGAGAGCTCAAGACATCAGTCATAGTGTATTTCACGTGTCCATGTCCATAATGAAGAATGTCTGCTTAAGAGAGATTAATTGTAATAAAATTACAAAATTTTTTTATACTGTGTCTTGAAAATTGCTCATTATGGGAAGGAGTTTGCTTTAGAGAGGGCCCATTGAGAGAGTTTTACTGAATTTAAGGAAATTTTTCAAGATTTCCCTTGTGCAAAAAGAAACAAAGTAAGGAAGTTAAATAAATCTATACTTATTGACAAAAAATGTTATTCACCAAGAAGGAAGCATTGGAATTGAATGAAACTTTATTAGTGCCAATATAACGACAATGATAAGAGATTATAATATCACAGCAAAGCTGATATTGTCCATGAAACAAAAGTTTTTAATTCATAAATATCATAATTACAACAGTAAACAGTATATAAATATCAACAACTCATAGCCCGAGTAGTAAATACATCACCAAACGATCGCCTAAATATCGCCGGGCCAGTTCTTTTATTCCAGAAGATTCTAAATTTATTTATTGATTTATTTATTTAATTATTAATTTACTTAAGAGATGGCGCCTAACGTCTACCTCTAGTGTCAAATTACTTTATTCCAATCATTTAATTAGCCGTATTATAGCCTGATATTTAGGCGATCGTTTGGTGATGTATNTAATCCGCATAAAAAGAGACCTTACAGTATTTCATATTACAGTTTTAATAAATAATTTTATAGAATGTTTACATAGTATGATAAATATTCATAATAATACAAAATTATGTATTCACTTAATTTTAATGTATTTCAGATTGTGATGTTAGATGAACCAACATCTGGGATGGATCCTTTTGCACGTAGGTTTATTTGGGATCTTCTCCTGGAGGAGAAAAAAACACGTACCATATTACTAACAACACATTTTATGGAAGAAGCTGATATTCTTGGTGATAGGATTGCTATAATGGCAAATGGTGAAATTAAATGTTGTGGAACTTCTCTTTTTCTAAAAGGAAAGTTTGGTAAGCTGATAAATATTGTAATTGATATAATTTAAAATTTATTCTTTTTTTTTCAAGGGTTAATCATTTAATTTATAGAATTGTTCTCACTTTTTTCTCTTGTGCAAATATTTGGGAAAATAGGTTGGTAGTGTCCTATTTAAAATCTTGTGATCAACCTCTGTAGGTACTGATTAGTTCCTATTAGTCTTGAGTTTGACAAAAATATACTGCAAAAACCTAACAAATCAGTGAGAAAATTATACACAAAGTGCAAATGTTTTTGCCTGTGTTAAATGGGCATCATTGGGCAATAAAGTGCTGAGAAGACACGGGATAACCAAACATATCTGTAGGGGGAAGGGGTATGTGATGTAAGAAGAAAGGAGAGGATTTATATTTTGTAGAAAGATTTCCAGGCATTGGAGAAGGAGTCAATGTCGCAATAGTTTATGGCAGGTGGTCTTGTAAATTTTGACTTGTTCTAGATGTTTAAGTAGATGTGGTTTAGATTTGTAATGTAGGAGGTCTGTCTCTTGGAAGTCCACCTGGATGCCAGGGTTGGTTATCAACCAACCCCTGCATCCAGGTGGACTTCCAAGTGATATTAGTTCTATGTAATAATACAATATTGTGGCACAGGTAAAGTAGAGAAAAACACAAAACAAAACTAGCATTAGTGCCCAGTATCCACAAAATAACATCAGGAAAATATTGTTTAGCAAACCTAGACAATGGCAACACTGTCTTCATACAATATTGCTGCTCCAGAAATGTTCAGCTTTAACTTGCCAATGAACTGGTCTAGATAGACAAAAAAAAAAAATTGAAAGATTCCAATTTGCATTGACACTCAACCAAATGGCCAAAGAACAGTCAAACACATTAGTTTATCCAAGGAGAGAAAGCAGACAAAATACTCCTAACTTTCAGACTCACAGAATTTTTGACATAGTTATAAATAGATTTGACAAATATTCCACACCTAAAACAAAAATCATCTATGAAAGAGCATGGCTTCACTTGTGGCTTTACTGGGCAAATCTGCTTGCAACTTTATAACAGTACTACACAACTTTGCTGAAAGCTGCAACTATGGAAACCCAAGAGAGGAATTCATCTGGAATAGAATCATTGTTGGCATGGTAGACAAAAAATTCAAGCTTGACAAAGCTTTACTTGATGATAAACTCACATTAGAGAAAGCATCAAAAATAGTCATGCATTCTGAGGAGAGGAAAAACAACTAAATGAAATGAACTAGCCAAGCATGAATTGTATGTCATCTGTGGGTATGAAAAATGTTTTTCACAGAAAGTAGTTTGGTTCAAAAAGTACCCTTGATTATCTTATGGTATACTCGACACATAAAAGTCTTTCTGAAGTCAAGGCAAGACATGGCAGGGAAGTGTTTTAGTGTGGAGGAGAGAAGAGCAAATGATGCCTAAGCACAGCAAAAAATACCACCGGTTACCAATGCAAGAGGAAAGGCCATTTTTCAAAATATTGCATGCTCAAAAAAAGCCTCTATTTGGTAAAAGGACAACTTGGATGGTTTTGTGCTAAACACAGGCCTAATTGATAAGGTTTCTATTGGGATGTTTATTTTCTGAACTAATTTAACAATTCCTTTAGGTTAATTTTTCCCCCAGTTTGTGCCCAAAACTTCGTGGGCTCACAACACTAAAGGTGCACAACCAAGAAGAAACTATATTCTCACTATGTCAAAAATCAGTATGCCAAACTATCTATTATATATACAACTTACACCAACCCCCACTAGGGAAAGACAATGTCACAAATCTGGAGTTGGTACAACAAATTGGAGTAATCTCAGGAGCAAATAGTATTGCCAAAGATGTAAAAAAGGAATTCAATGCACTATTACAAGGTATTGGTAGGATCCTTGGAGAATACAAGCTGCAAATCAAACCCAATACTGAACCATTTTCTATTAGTTTACCCCATAGAGTTCACATTCCTTGTTCCTTAGCATACAAGGTCAAAGGAGACTTGAAATCAAATTCAAACAACACTTCAAGTTGGTGTACTACACTAGACTCTTCTAATCTGGCCATTCCTTGCATAGAAGGATGACAGATTAAAAAGAGTGCCAGATTACTGAGATTATGCAGGCTCAAAGTCTATCTAAAGGCAATGAATAAATGAATGACATGACCTAGTGCCCTTTGATATTGATTTTTTTTTGGAGGCAGGCAGACAGGCAAATAATAAGGTGCACTAACATGCAATATTGTGCACAGACATAAAACCCAAGTAAACAAGAAAATAGAATGAGTGACATGAACATTTTCACAGGAAGGGAAGCTCGTATCCAATTACTCTGGGGCAGTGGTTGGCAACCCAAATGCATTGGTGTGCCACAAAACATGTAATTGAAAATATTGGACACTATGCGTGCCACTAAAATAAAATTATAAAATTTATTGCACATTAACACATTTTTATTTAACTATAAAATACACACTATGATATTATTACAAAATTACAATATTTAAACAATAGCAACTCCCTTGTGGTTCAATTTTAGAAACTAACACATCAATATTTGGTTCATAGTTTGAAGTTTTTAATTTTATGCACAATTGGCATGCCACTCAAAATTCTTTCACATCTCACTAGGTGGCACATGTGGAATAGGTTGCCAACCGCTGCTCTAGGGTAAGCTGGGTAATTGAGAAGCCAGGTGATTAAGGGCTAAATCAGTAAGACAGTATTGAAATTTGTAAAAATAAATATAATTTTAGTTGATTTAAGAGTCCAGTGATCCATTATTTTTGTATTAATTACTAGAAAACTATTCTATATATATTGTTTAAATTTTAAATGATAGTTTATTTAATATATTTAAATTTAGAGATTTATTTAAATTTAAACTATAGATATGGAGCTTGTATTCTTCAAGGATCTTACCAATACCTTGTAATAATGCATTGAATTCCTTTTTTACATCTTTGGCAATAATCTCTAAATTTAGAGATTTAGAGATTTATTTAAATTTAAACTATAGATATATTTAGGTATTTCTATAATCTCAAATGATTAATAATAATATCAAAAACATTTTTAAATATAACATTTTATGAAAAATGATTAGTTAAACTACCATATTTATCAAAATTTTGTTTTTGGCCTTTTAAAATCAAGAATTCATTAAAATATATCTTAATTTCAGGTGGAGGATATAATTTAACTGTAGTAAAAGAACCAAACTGTATTTCTGAGAAAATATGCAATTTAGTTTATGAAACTGTTCCAGATTCTGAACTGAAAATCAGTACTGCAGCCGAACTTAAATTTTGCTTACCTCGTAAAAGTGGAATGAATTTTGAAAAACTTTTTAATGAACTTGAAAAAAATAAAAAAGAACTTAATATATCAAGTTATGGTGCTTCAATTACAACTATGGAAGAAGTTTTTCTCAAGTATGTAATAGAAAAGTATCTTTTCTATGCTTAGATTTTAAGATACAGTGGATGATCGGTTTACAAACATAATCCGTTCCTAGACTTTGTTCGCTATCCGAATTGTTCGTTAACCGATTATCGATTTACCATAGGTTTTGATGGGAATTTAATTAATTTGTTCTAAAGACCCCAAAAATAAAAAATATATACTTTCTTACTACGTTTATTTATATGTAATAATGAAAATACATTCATAAACAGTCTTGCATTTTTATTAGTCATGTTTTTTCCATTTTAAAGGGTTAAAGAATCTGTCTAATGTTGATTGCTTTTCTCTCTTCTTCAGGATTTTTCAGAAGTAATTAATAGCATTGCGATTGTAGAAATCCCCAAGCCTCAACCTGGTTTGGATGCCATTCTAAGACCGTTGTTCAGATATCCTCCCACTTCTTCAAAAGATCTTTAATAGCAGATATCAACATTAATCCTCTTTTTCAGAAGAAAACATATCTCGCCGAGTTTCTTGGCGTTCTTCTGTCGTCAGATCCATTTCAGGTTCCATTATGAACTCTTCAATGCTCTTTATTTCTCAGATGTGATTTTTGTTACTCCTTTAGCTGCTTGAGTCTTCTTGATTATACAGTATCTTTCTTAAATAATATTGAACTGCGGCCTACTGTAGACCTGTTCAAGCCATACTGCCCAGCAACATTAGGCATCTTCTGTCCACTCTCTACCTTTGCTATTATACTCTCACCTTTCAAAAAGAAAAAACAGATGCAAAACTTAACAAGTATCTCTTCGACAGTCTCTCAAATACATAAAAGAATTGTTTTTGTCAGAAAAATAAAAGGCTGGAATTACAAGGGAGAGTTTCAAAGTTCGGAGGAATACTATCCGATCGGTATATACCGGTTTGAGCGTTGATATCGACTCCTGCACTCCAAAAAGTTTCAAATTGTTGCTTGAAGACAAGGGAAGACCAATCGGTATTCATTAGTTTATGTCACTTCTTCTGTGTTTGTTCTGTGGGGTGTTTGTTATCCGATTTGTTCATTAACCGATCACCCACTATATATCAAATTATTCTTAAATTCATAAAATTATGCATTAATTAACTATAGGAAATTTAATTTAGTACCTGAAATTACATATATACATATATAAAATAATAAAATAAACAATAATATACAGAATAAAGCTAAATCAATATTAATACTTTGATACAGTTTATTAACAAGAATTATCTGTAGAACAAATTTTAATTTAGTTTAGTGAAATGTTCAGAAAAAATTTTTATTAGTAAATAATGTTTCAAGTTCAAATTATTTTGTTTCTGCTTTACAAGAGTTTCTGTAATGTGGTTTCTTGTATATTAATATCAATGATTATTTAACTAATTTTGTAAGTATTAAGTGTAATTAAAAAATAAAAAGTTAGTAGATTTATAGTATTTTTAATTTGAGTAAACTATTTACTATAATGAAGAGATCCTAAATTTGAACAAAATGATAAAAGCCATAAATACAGCAATAATATCTATTCATTGAAAATTATCACTATATTTCTTTAAAATGTCAACAAATTAAAAAATATCATATTTTCTTTTTTCATCATATTTGCCTTTCTCTATCATTTACTTCAAGTTTAAATGGATATACTGAAATATTTATAATACAGACATTTACTAATTTTTATATCAGTGATACAAATTTGTATTAAATATGAATGAAGTAAAGTGTAAATTATATTTTAGATATGTATAGTAAATATGTAAATGTAGTGAAGACTTCACATAAAACCATAAAATAAACTTTTAATAAAACAGGTATTGTAACCATGGAATCTGTCTCAGTGCCTGTCATACCCATGTTATCCTTGCCCCTCTGTTTGCCTGAATTGGAACCATTCCTATCGTCAACCTCACAATTACAACTACACATTAGATGCAATTGTGCCTTTTTTTTCATTCAAGCCTTTTTTTTTTGTCATTTGTTTGAATAAAAGTTGTGTCTTATATGCCATAAAACACAGTACATTTATTACTGTAGTTTGAATTTCCTGTTGAAAAGATGAAAATATCAAACTAAAGAACTTGCTAGAATCTCAAACATATTAACTTGTACACAACAACTTTTAACGATATTCATTCTTCAAAATAAAAAATGAAATAAAACAGAAATTATAAGTTTAGTAAAGAAAATTTTTAACAATGAAATTTTGATGTTGCACACATGTATACAAAATTCTGGGTTCCTGAATAGTACTAAACATTGAAACTATGTGGAAATTCTTATTTACTTCAATTAAATTGCATGTGTTTTATCAAGTGCATTCAGTTAGAAATGTTGATCATAAAACAGTTGTAAAAGTTTAATTTTATACTTTTATAGTTAATTTATTTTAGATTCAAATTTAAAAGAACATCATTGTTATCATTAGTTGTAAATGAGTTAAAATTTGTTTTATACAGAGACTTTTATTATATATCTTTGAAAATATTGTTGATGAATAAATAGCATAATGATTTTTAATTAAAAATAATTATTTTTATTTTTATTAGTTTGTATATTTAATTAAGTACTTATGTAACCTGAATTAATTTGATTACAGAGTTGATGAATACTCTTCAATAGGAATAAATCCTTTTTTAAAAGAAGAATCAAAACTGAAAATCAATTATTTGGCAAATACCTTATATGAAGATAAAAATACTGCATGTATTGGTAATTTTAATGTTATAAATTATTTGTTTAAAGTAAACTAGTTAAATTAAAAAATTTGTAATTTTAAAATTCAATATACCAAAATTTTATAGAAAAAAGAAAATTTATTTAACATTATATTTTCAAGCATATACCCGTATTAGCCCAAATATAACGCGACCCCGAATTTAACGCGACTCTAAAATTTTCATAAAGATATTTAGAAAAAAAATAATACTCATAAAAGAATTCAAAGAAAGTAAAATTCAATCAGATAAGCATTTATTTATGTAATTACAGTAGAGCGTCGTTTATCCGAATCAATTGGGGACTGGGGTGGTTCGGATAACTTATTTTTCGGATAACGAATCATGTACGAAAAAATATATTAATTTATCCCATGTTGAAATTTTTCTCCGTTGCGTGTCGCTTCGCGTTGAATTTTCGTCGATGTTAAGCCTAACGAAGACTATTGTATCGTTAAAAATTATTTTTTTATTTTGTACAAACAAAATAAATATATTGAAAAATATAAAAACAATAAAAAATTATACTTCAGATGTTAATTTAGTATCAAAAACGTAAAATATTTGAGTAACCCAAGAAATAGCCGAAGATTGCAGCGCCATAGCACTAGCGAAAATTTAAATTTGCCGACTGGAATGCTTTCAGATAACAGACGTTTCGGATAACCAGATTTTGGATAAACGACGCTCTACTGTATAGCTAATAACACAGGCAACCTCTGTAGGAAAACGTCCTTGTTTATATTACATTCCATTACTTAAACCCCAAATTTAGCGTGAGTCGATTTTTTAACGGAAAATAAATGGTCGAAAAATATTGAGTTATATTCGGGCTAATACGGTAATCCATGGGCCATATGTTGACATATACTTCGAAATTGCGTAAGTTATCTGCCAATTTCAAATTGCAATCATGAAGGTTCAATGTCTGCTTTTGTAGAACAGACTATAAATATCTTCATTGTAACAATTTTCTACAGAGTATGTGTGGATTATACATTGCTGTGGGTTATATACATGAAAATATGGTAGTTATAAAATAAAAATGTGTACACTTATAACATATTATTTACTCATCTTTCTCATTTTCCCTCTCTCTGTTTTCTGTCTATCTTACTATCAAGCTACCTATTTTCTTTTATAAATCGTAAGTTTTGTTAGAATTAATGATTGAAATTATTGTTAAATATTGTATAATATTGATACATACATCGCATCGCGTTGCAATGATGTTTGTAAATGTTCTTCCTATTGTGTAATAAAAGCTTGGTGGCACTGTTGACTTTTTTGGGAACTGTTGGTGATGGTGACCTTGTTTTACTCTCCCCTTTTTAACACTGACCTTCCTTGAGTCAAATAGAAATATTGTCTTTTGTGCAATCTTTGTTCCTTTGTCACGTAACCAATTATGCAAGTCTAACCAGTTTTCCTAATCTCCAAACAGCAACATCTAGTCTAACAAGTTTATTTGATATTTTGATTAACTTGAACTATGGTAATTCTGATTAGTCATTTGAGTATTCTAGATCATAAAAACATCAAGACTATTTTTAGAGTACACAGATTTAAAACAAAAATGATTTTAGTAACTTCTAACTAAATAATTTTTAAATACCAAATGGTTTAAGTTTCAGTGAAGTTTCTAGATATAATTTTTAAAGGAATGTTTTAAAAGTTATTAAAGTTATATCACTTTTTTGGTATTGACATTTAATTTTCTGAAATCATTCTAACAATAAAATTTAAATCATTATTTATGACAATTTTATCCTTAATAAATATCAAATAATTTTTTTTTTCTGGATTACATAAAGTTTTTAACAATGTAAAATAATTACTTAAAATCTTAAAGATTCAAATAATTTTTTTTTAAAACATTATTGCTATTGATATTTCTTTAATTATTTTTATTTTCAGATATTTCAGTATCAAAATATAATGTAAAATATATGCTCTACATGCAACAACTAAGAGCGCTGTTTTTAAAGAAAATATTGAACACATTTCGAAATAAATGGATTACGGCTACTCAACTTTTCATCCCTGTTTTAATGATTATTGCAACAATTTCAATTATTAAATATATTCCTGATATAACTCATGCACCACCACTTGAACTAACATTGAAAAATTTTGGAAGAACTTACATACCGTATTCTGTAAATTGTTCAAACAAACTTATTGAAGTTATTGCCAACAATTACCAGATAATTCTAAGTAAAGAAAATAATGTATACAAAATTGACACCAATCTGATGGATTATTTATTAAATGTCGCCAATACAGATTTAAGTAATTTCACTCTTCACTTCATTATAGCAGCTGAATTTTATTGTGATCAAAATTCAGATATTATTAATGTAACAGCATTATTTAATAATCAAGCATACCATTCACCAGCAATATCTCTATCAGCATTACAAAATGCCATACTGGTTAGTACACTTGGTAGTTCTCACTATCATATTACAACAATAAATCATCCATTACCAAGAACTCTAAGTGAAAAGGTAAAAATTCTTAGTTTGAAAAATTTATGTTTATTATTATTTAATGTATGGAAAAGCCTAAATTAGATTTCTGGTCATTATTATAAAAGATTTTTAATAAATTTAATAAATACAGAGTGATCAAATGAAAAGTTTACTTGTGAAGGCTAGATTTGGCATTGCCATGGCTGTCCTTGTTACTATGCTGCTACATGTTATGAAAAAACATTTAAATTTCAAACATTTATTTACTGTAGACTCAAGGGAGAAATTTGAAAGTGTAAATAAATTAATTAATAAATAAAAATATTCACTTATACTAAAGAAATTGCTCAAAGTGATTACTCCTTGCTGCTCAAACGTGACTTGCAACCTTTGTAAGCATATAATTAAAATTCACCTGAAGAAAAAACAAAGTTTTCATAATTCATCCATTTTCACACCACAGGAACAACAACTGTATTTGGCAAAGTCGATTTTTTATTATAGACTCTTCACTGCTTCAATATGCCAGAGGGATTTTATACAATTTTTAGCATATTGAGATAAAAGGTTAACCTGTTGGTCAGTCAGGCATACTTTTTGTGATTAAATTTTTCATTTGATTGCCATGTATAATCATATACATTTTTTAGTTATTTGTAATAATGCTATTTTATAATTTATATTTTACAGACTGTCAGTATTAATGAATATAATACAGACGCTTTTCAATACACACAAAACACCATTTTTGGTTTATCATTTGTTATGGCAAGTTTTGTAATTTTTGTAATAAAAGAAAATTCAAGTAAAGCAAAACATTTACAGATAATAAGTGGTGTAAACAGATTTATATTCTGGTTTTCTACATTTATCTGGGATCTTTTAAATTACATTATGTGTGGGATTTTTACACTATTGAGTTATATTATATTTAATATTGAAGCATTTTATTCATTAGAAACACAAGGTATTTATAAAAATTAATTATGTCTTTTAATCTATTGAATTTAAGTATATTTGTGCTTCTTTCATTTATTACTTTATAAATTTATTTTCATTTATAAATACTTACAAACATTTTTCATTTTAATTAATTTGATAAAGCAAATTGCAAAATTAATAAAAGAAAAAGAATTAAATATGTGTGAAAGATTTAATAATTGAAGTTCCAGTTTGTAACAACAAAAATATTTTTTAATACTAGAGAGGTTGAGGCAGACGTTTTAAACATGTAAACGTGTAGGACGGACGTTCGGTGCCGCTTTCCCGTAAGCCTAGAAGTTTGACGATGGTGTTTGGAATGTCGAGCGTGATTCCACCGACTATCCAAACACCATTGTCAAACTTTTAGGCTTACGGGAAAGCGGCGCCGAACGTC